CATCTGTCCTCCAGTGGCACGCTACATCTGTCCTCCAGTGGCACGCTGTTCCTGTAAGATTGGTGTTTGATTATTGATTGCATTATACCAGTTTAGATGTGAAATAAGAGTGTATAGTACAAGTTATTGAGGGATTGCATTTTTGGGCATATATTTCAAGTTCACGGATTTAACTACTCCATGGACCAGAACCACCATGCCCATTTTTTAACAAGCATGTAAATAATGATTGTAACCACCAGAAAGATCAACACAATTTAACGGTAATCTAAGAGGAGTAATGACAAAGGGACTAGCACAATAGTAAGGTGTCATTAAGGAACATTTAAAATGACTGCCTAAGCATCACTAAAGATCTAGGCTCACAGGGGAAAAAATCCACTAAAAAATCCACCAAAAAAATAGTGTATCTCCAGGGAGAGATTCTTCTACAGTGGCAGTCAGCCCTGAAATGGGATCTATGAGAGGTGGAGCCAGGCTCCACCCCTTCTGGTTTCACAGTTGAATTGCCTTCCCCTGTACTCCCAGGGCTGACTGGGACCTTTCCCAGGTGTTTAAACAGTAGTTCAGGCACTGAGACACAGACTCAACAGTTACCACACAATGACTCAGGGAACTACTTACCTGTCTGCACCTCAATGCTGGGGAATATCATGGAGCAGATCCTCCTAGAAGCTGTGCTAAAGCACATGCAAGTGAGGAAGATGGTATGAGATAACCAGCATGACTTCACAAAGGGTAGGCCCTGCTTGTCACTTTATGATGTAACTGCATCACTGGGCAAGGAAAGCACCACCAGTGTCACACATTTGGACTTCAATAAGGCCTTTGACATAGTCCCCCATAACATCCTTCTCTCTAATTTGGTAACATTTGATGTTATTTGATAGGTGAGGAGTTGGTTATGAGATCACACACAGAGGATGGTGATTAATGACTCCTTTTTGAAACGGATTTTAGTGAAAAGTTGTGTCCATCAGGGGTCAGTGCACTTTAACCTCATCATCAGTAACATCAACAAAGGAATTGAGTGCAACCTCAGCAAGTTTGCTGATTACACCAAGCTATGTAGTGAGATATAGATACCCAAAGGACATGATGCCATTCAGAGAGACCTGGGCAGGCTCAAACAGTGGGCCCAGGAGAACCCCAGTGCAAGGTCTTGCATCCGAGTCATGGTAACCTCCATTACCAGTACAAGCTTTGGGGAGCAAGGATGGAGCACAGCCCTGACAAACAGGACCTAGGACTACTGGTGGATGGCAAGCTAGACATGAGCCAGCAACATGCCCTCTCAGCCCAGAAAGCCAACTATATCCTAGGCTGCTTCCAAAGAAGTGTGGCCAGCAAGACGAGGGAGGTGATCCTGCCTCTCTGCTCTGCACTGGTGAGACTTCACCTGGAGTACTGCATCCAGATGTACTCGTGAGACACAGACCTGCTGGAGCATGCCCAGATAACAACCACCAAAATGATCCAACAGATGGAACATCTTCCCTACAAGGATAGGCTGAGAGATCTGAGGCAGTTCCACCCAAAGAAGAGAAGGTGTCCCGATAGCAGCCTTTCAGTACTAAATGAGAGTCACAGAAAAGAAAGGGACAGTCTCTTTAGCAGGGTCTGTGGTGATCAAACAAGGAGAAACTGTTTCAAGCTTCAAGAGGGTAGATTTAGGTTGGATATAAAGGAAAAGCCTTTTACACTGTGGGTGGTGAAACAGGGCAACAGGTTAGTGGTGGTTGCCCCAGCCCTGAACACATTCAAGGCCAGCTGGACCATACTCTGAGCAATGTGAGTGAGCTGCAGATGTCCCCGTTCATTGCAGGGGAGCTGGACTAGATAGCCCCTAAAGGTCCCTTCCAACTCTAAGGACTCCATGATTCTGGGTTGGGTCCCACTGGGCTTCACACTGCAGAGCAGCCCTGCAGCTGCTCAGCATCACAGTCATTTACTCAGTCCCCCCAGGGTGGGATTAAGGGAAAAACTGAAAACAAAATACTATTTGTGCGCTGTAACAAAACAGCCAACTACCAAGACAGAAGAGGAAAACACACCAAAACGTTATAGTAACTGCATGCATAGTTATAAAGCAATTACTCACCGTTCACCGACGAAAACACAGCACCAAACACATGCCGATGCCGCCGCAGCTCACACAGCTACCGAACAACGACAGCCCTGCCCGTAGCACTATGGCGTTCTCCTGACGTCACGCGGTACGGAAAAGCCCCCGCTCAGGCCCGGCCCCGCCCCGGCCCCGCTGCTGCCCGTCATGGCAGCGGCTCCGCTCCGCTCGGCGGCCCGGCCTGGCACCGGGAGCGGTCTTACGACTCAGCGGCAGTTCTCCTGCAGGAGTTGGCAGCACGTGGCTTGGACAGGTACGCTCTTGGCTGGGTAAGGAACTGGCTGGAGGAGCGGGCCCAGAGAGAAGTGGTGAATGGAGCTAAATCCAGCTGGCGACCTGTCACGAGTGGTGTTCCCTGGGGGTCGGTACTGGGCCTTCAGCATCTTTATTGATGACCTGGCAGCAAAGCTGGTAAGGGGTCTGGAGCACAGGCCTTAAGAGGAGCGGCTGAAGGAGCTGGGATTGTTCAGTCTGGAGGAGACTCAGGGGAGACCTCATTGCTCTCTATAACTGACTGAAGGGAGATTGTAGTGAGCTGGGAGTCAACCTCTTCTGTCATGTAACTGATGACAGAACTAGAGGGAATGGCTTCAAGCTGTGCCAGGGGAGATTTAGGCTGGATGTTAGGAAATACTACTACTCTGAAAGAGTGGTCAGGCACCGGAATGGGCTCCCAGGGAGGGGATGGAGTCACTGACCCTAGCTAAGCGTATATTGCTAATTAACTTCTCACATTTGCTCATTCAGCACTGGGCCATTATTCCTGGACACCTGCTGTCCTGGGATAGAGGTAAGTTTGAAGGAAAAAGGTAGGGGAACATCACTTGCATTCCTCCTAATCCAAAAGAGGGACAGTTTGACTTCATGTCGGAGGCCCCTTAAGTTGTTCTTTTGCTGAGGGCCTCTTGGCAAAACAGAGTAGTCTATAATACAAAAGTTACAATTTTGGTACTTCTTAAGTATTTCATCTTATCTACTAAGTGTACATAAATGTGGAATAATAAGCCACTTTCCTCCAGAGAGGCTGTGGATGCCCCGTCCCTGGAGGTGTTCAAGGCCAGGTTGGATGGGGCCCTGGGCAGCCTGGTCTGGTATTAAATGTGGAGGTTCACAGAATCACCCAGAATCACAGAATTGTAGGGGTTGGAAGGGACCTCCAGAGATCGAGTCCAACCCCCCTGGAGGTGTTCAAGGAACGTTTGGATTTTGTGTTGAGGGACATGGTTAATGAGAACTATTAATGAGAACTATTGGTGACAGTTGGATGGTTGGACTGGATGATCTTGTAGGTCTTTTCCAACCTTGGTGATTCTATGATTCTGTGAACTAAACCTCAGTGTGCTACTAACACTTTTTTTGCTGAAACTGGGACATTCTCCTTGTAGAGATGTGCAGAGATGTGTTGAAAGACTTTGAAGTTTATAGACAAAGTAGTATATGGTTTTCCTTGAGTAAATAACTGGACCATCACAGAACAATCAGTCCCTAATTCTTGATGCGCTTTCTGTGGGTGTTGGCAACTCAGCATGTAATAACCAAAGTGAAACAGAGAAACAAAAGTGTGGGATATAGTTCCTCAGATACACTAAAATGAATTTTCCTTCATGTAATTATATTCCTACAAAAGTAGTATTTATTGGATTATGTATTTTAATCAACACTGTCATTCTGGACTTTGTAGTTATAGGATGTGTCTTATTTCATAGAATCACAGAATCGCAGAATCATTTGAGTTGGAATGGACTGCTAAGACCATCTGGTCCAACTGCCCTGCAGTGAACAGGGACACCTACAGCTCCATCAGGTGCTCAGAGCCCCTCCAGCCTGACCTTGGGTGTCTGCAGTGATGGGGGATCCACCACCTCTTTGGGCAGTCTGTGCCACTGCCTCACCACTCTTATTGTAAAAAACTTCTTTTAAAAAAAACACTGGCTTGGGTTAGTACAGTTAAGGTAGATTGTTTAAATACAGTGCAGTGATAGCCTCCAGGTTCTCATGCAACTCCACTGATGCTTCTTAATATTTCCACTACAGCTGTACTGGAATTTTTGATACCCACATATAGTGACCAGAGTCCAAAGTTCCAAGTGTACAAATTACTTCTTTGAATTAATCCATTTGAAAGAAAACATCTTCCCTTAATTTGCCAGAAAACATAGCTGTTTTGAAGCATCTGAAATGCTTAGTGCTAAGTTCTGCTATGTAATTCTTAAATCCTTCCTCTCCTGCCCTGCAGGATGTCATGAGAACACCTGCTTTGTTAGCTAGGATCACCTGTTTCACTGTCTCAGCTGTCAAAATGATGAAAAGTAAATCCTTCTGCTGGGGTTCGTAAGAAAAACATAGCGTTTCAGGCATGGAATAGCTTTTTGATTTACATCAGGTTTTTAATTATTGCAACATTTTAAAAAGATAGAGATGATAAGCAAACAAAATCAGTCTGTCCAGAAGGTATGGGAAAAAAAATATATACTCTGCTTTGGATGTTGTATACTCTGTACATTTAAGCAATAGTGTAACTGAGTCTCTACAAATAAATTAATTAATTAAATTTTGGTGGTTTGTTGGGTGTTTTATTTATTTCTTTATTTGTTTAATCTAATGAAAAATACTGTTGCTGACCTATGATATCTTTTTACTGTCAATTGCACATGATAGCACTGGATGGATAATCACAAAGAAATTAGTGTACAGTAGAAAAGAATGCACCCAAAGATTTCAAATCATAAAAATAAATTGTTCCTGTGCATGTTCTTTCTGGCTATGCCATCTCTATTCTAGGGCTCTATGTGATCTTCTGAGTTGCACAAAAACCCTCTGAGGTCACCAGGATTTAAGGGTAGGAATTAACAAGCTCTCAAGTATTACTGAATTGAGAAAGACTGATATAGGGAGATCGTTTTCTGAGGCAAGCAAACTTATTCTAGTGGACAAGAGGACTGCACACCTGGATGTTTTTCTTTGTATATGCCAGCACATGTGTTTCATATGACCAAAATGGCAATTATTCCTGTCACAGAATGAGGCTTTGCATGTGTGACAAGATGATCCCAACGCATGTGTGATGAGATGATCCCATTGCCTGTACTGTGTATTGTAGGTGACAGATGTTGTGTTTTGGTTGCATCAGAGAGTACTTTTGGTCACGTAATGAGGAAGGACTGTGATTTGTTTTGGTGGGTCAGAACACAGATACTCCATCACCAGCTTATGCTCTGTTGGAGTATGCTAAGAATATACCATTTGTCATTTAAATGAGCTCATTTTAATGTGCAATGAAGCATGATTCATGTTTCCTTACACAATTTTGTTAGCCTTTTCAGTTTTTGTATTTATCTGTTGTTTTTCCTTTTCAGTGTATCCGCCATTAGTCATGAGGATGAAGGGCTGTGATTCTTGTCTAATAGGAAGAAAAATAAGAAGAAAAATAAACTTGTTTCAATGCCAGGAGCATTTTTGTTTTGAGCAAAACCAAACCAAACAATAATGGGACATGTAACAAGAACAGTATTTCATACTACATAGCATAAAATGAATTGTAATTGCTTTTACACTAAAGTTACATGTATCGACTGGGCTCTTACTCTTCTGAAATGTAGCACTGTTCCATGCAAACAGCTGACCCTTAAACCTCCAGATCAGTGGATTTAAAGCTACGACTGTAAATCTTTGGACCACCAAAGCATAAATTGATAAATTTGGCCATAATTGTAATTTGTGTGTTGGAAAATTGTAAAATGAAACATAATCATAAGCAGAATCATTTCTGTCTTTTAAACAACCTTTACTTAGCAATGAATCATGCTTCTTTCTAAACCTTGGTTCAATTGCTCCAAGTAAAATTTAGAAGTTGTTGATTTCAAGTTTGTGTAGCAGAGGAGAAAGGGATAAATTCCACAGCTGAAGGTGGACAAAGGTAGCATTTCTTTGGCAGCAGAAAGTAATTTTTGTTTGGCAAAAAGGAATGCTTGCATTTGTGCAGACATTTGGATAATTGGAAGCAGCCCTAACAGAAGTGAATGAATGGACAACATGCAGGTGAGGTTTGAATGCATATCAAATGGCTCTGAAATGTGTAAAATGATTGGCCTCTGATAGGATGCAGTCCCATATTGCATCCATTTAGCTTTCTGTAGTGATGAGTCATTTGGACCCATGTGTGTAAAATTAAGATTTGAGTATTTACAATGATATCAACACAACAGTTCAGAGCAATCCAGTGTTTTAAACTGAGGCTTTCTCTTTTTCCTTTTCCTTTTCCTTTTCCTTTTTTTCTTTTTTCTTTTCTCCTGGCAGGTATCAGGAAGGTTTAAAAATGCTGGCAAGCCTGGAGGAAAAATATTTAATCCTTAAGCAAATGAGTTTTTACTACCATCAGCTACTGACAGAGAAACCCCAAATTAGTATATCTTTTATTTGTAATGATATCATATATAATTGGTTTATAAAGACAGATAGTATATCACAAATGTGTGTGAGCAACAACAGAAAGTTTTAAATATTTAATATGTATAAATCACTGCATTATTTTTATTCCAAACCAATGTCATTTTAAAACATTATTCAGGCCCATTCAAGAATTTCAGTTTGGGGCATTTTGAAGTACGTGAGAAAAACATTGTTAAGTGGAAGTTCATGGAAAAAAAAAGGAGGGGAGGGGAGGGGAGGTCATCTGGAATATCCATTCAGTTCAACCGATGTTAAGCACTCAGCACATCTGAAAATGAGCTTGCTTACCAGGTGCCTAAATTAGGAAGGATTGGTGCTTTGAAAATGCGAGCTTGACAACTCAGTTTTGCAAATGTATAGAAATGTTTGCTATAACACTTCCATCACACAAGATGCTGCAAACAACAGTCAGAGAGGAAACAAGACTTCTGGAACAGACAGGTGATGCCTCTGGGCTTGAGTTTGAGACTGCAACTGGTGCTTGCAGGATTGGATTCCCATCTTCTTGAGCCTTGTAAAGCATGGCAGTGTACGACAGCCTACCATGCATCACATTGTCTTTTCAGGACCAGAAGTCAAACTGTTATCGTTATTTACAGAGAACCATTTCACCATATGGGAGGCTTTACTTCTAGAAAGGTTTTGAATGCAGCAACAAATCCTGCTCTGCTCTTCCAGTGCTCTTGTACAGGTCACGGTGGGACAGGTGGGAGCTTCTTTCTCTCTTCATTAAAACAAGTACCAAAGAGTGTTACAAGATCCATCAGCAAATGCTGCAATCCAGGCACGTGCTAGGGCAACTCGCAGTCACTTTGAAAGCAGAACTGCTCTGTGATTTCAGCAGGGACTTCTTCAAAACACATGGTGCAGTGTGGTCTTTGGCATTTATATCCTGCCTCACTTCAGGCAGGGGAAAAAAACAGGAAAATTAAAAAAACAAATTTAGATTAGTGTAATCTCAGAGTTATGAATGTATATGCTCTGACTTGAGGAAATTATTTTTTTCAGCCTTACATCAACTCAGCTGTTTTGCATATGTTGGCCTTGGTTAGCTGTGTTATGTTTGGGGGCATAAACGTCAGTATGTTTTTAATATTTGTTTCATATCTCTGAGATTTACAATTGATATGTATACTTAAATACTTCTGATAACATACAATGTTTGTCTTCTAAATCTCTGGGACAGTGGCCATCAGCCCATTCTTGTGCTGGTAACAATAAGTTTATGTACACGTGCACATGTATGCATATGCATGGTTCCAGATTTGTGACTGCGTCTCCTTGGGACTATCAGTAGGTGCAGGACACATTTACCAGGATATTATGCACCTCTGGAATCATAGAATCATATCATAGAATCATAGAATGGCCTGGGTCGAAAAGGACCACAATGCTCATCCAGTTTCAACCCCCTGCTATGTGCAGGATCACCAACCAGCAGACCAGGCTGCCCAGAGCCACATCCAGCCTGGCCTTGAATGCCTCCAGGGATGGGGCATCCACAGCCTCCTTGGGCAACCTGTTCCAGTGCGTCACCACCCTCTGAGTGAAAAACTTCCTCCTAATATCTAAATCTAAACCTCCCCTGTCTCAGTTTAAAACCATTCCCCCTTGTCCTATCACTGTCCACCCTCATAAACAGCCGTTCCCCCTCCTGTTTATATGCTCCTTTCAAGTACTGGAAGGCTGCAATGAGGTCTCCCCAGAGCCTTCTCTTCTCCAAGCTAAACAAGCCCAATTCCCTCAACCTTTCCTTATAGAAGAGGTGCTCCAGATTTCTGGTCATCTCAGTGCCCTCCTCTGGACCCATTCCAAGAGCTCTGAGTCTTTCTTGAGCTGGGGCCCCCAAGCCCAGACACAGTACTGCAGATGGGGCCTCACAAGAGCCGAGTAGACGGGGACAATCACCTCCCTCTCCCTGCTGGCCACCCCTTTGTTAACGCAGCCCAGAACACAGTTGGCCTTCCAGGCTGCAAGCACACACTGCTGGCTCATGTCCAGCTTCTCATCCACCAGGACCCCCAAGCTGGGCCAATGACAGCAGCTTTATCGGGCCATGTCCAGTCTGGGCTTTAACACATGTTAGCCGAAAGCTGGCAGAACATGAGCCAGCAGTGTGCCCAGGTGGCCAAGGCCAGTGGCATCCTGCCTTGTATCAGAGGCAGTGCTGCCAGCAGGAGCGGGTAGGTGATCATCCCCCTGTATCAGCTCTGGTGAGGCCACACCTTGAGTACTGTGCTCAGTTTTGGGTCACTCATTACAAGAAACACATTGAGGACCTG